TCAACTTTTTAATATAATTAAACATATTTTGAAAATGAAGGGGAACCTTAGGTCGGAGCAACCGTAAAGTTATCTGCATGTGTGACCTATAGGTCGTGGGTTCGAGACGTGGTAGCAGCCACTAATGCTTGCATTAGCGTAGGCTGTTTACATTCACACCTCTTGGGGTGCGGCCGTTCCTCAGATCTGTGTGAACACGAGATGCCTTGTGCATCAGGTTGCCATACAATATTATGGTCAAAGAAATTCTCGAATAGTAACAATGTCCAGAGGCGGAGCTAGCCTTTGTGGTACGGGTTCGGCCGAATTCAGTCACTTTTGCTTAAATATTACTGAATTTGTACACGAAAATTCATTAAATATGTATAAATATTTAATTATGAACCCAGCTAAGACAAGATATGAATTCCATGATAAATTTAGAACCCATAAGCTTTAATCTTGGTTCCGACTCTGACAATGTCATATAAATTAAAGTAAAACAAGACGGAGTAGTATTTTTATTTACTTTTAGTGGAGCAATTGTAGAAAAGTCCAGGAAGACCGTTGATAGTATGAGCATCCGAAATATTTGGAGCTCCTCCAGTTTGGAGGGCTTGATTGATATTTGTCTCTGTATCGTCATTCCACCATTCACCTACAATCCAAACACAAGGAGGACACATAAAATTTTATTATCGTGACAGTAATATAATCATGAAACGAGTGAATCCTTTTTATGTTGTACTGACTATTCAAGAATATTGTGCGTGTCAGTTCCACCAAAATTAGTACTGTTTTGGAGGATCTGACATGAATGTGGCACTAATAATTTTGGAAAGCCCGAGCAACACAAATATAGATACAAAATCAAAGTTGTGTACCAAAAATGATAGGAACTTCTTTGAAGGGTTGAGGAAAAGGATAAGGGACGCCTTTCTTGGGAAGGATAATAATAGCTCCATAGACTGTAACTCTCAGCCATGAGATGTGAGCATGCCAAAACAATGTTCCCCTTTGCCCAGTGAGAGTGAAATTGTATACATAGCTTTGGCCATTTTGAATAGGGCATTGTGTAATATAAGCTGGTCCATCTGCCCATGCACTTCTTAATTGTCTCACTCCATGCCTGTCATGCATTTCACGTATTATAAGATAATTACACAAACTTGTATAACATATCAAACTACAAGGCATCCCGCTTTCACACAAGATCCGGAAAAGGGCCGCACTCAGTGGCGAATCCAGAAATTTCGCTAAGGGTGTTCAAAATTTAATACACACATAAAAATAAGATTTTGACCTATATACACAATATAAGTTTCTATATACACAATATAATTTTTCGATGAGGCCATTGTTCGGTTGACCACCCTTCAATGTATGTGGCTACGCCACTGGCCGCACCCCAAAGGGGGTGATATAGACAGCCTACCCTAATGCAAGCATTGATGGCTGTTTTGACGGTTCGAACCCGTGACCTATAGTTCACACCGGTAGTGGAATAATCAAAATTAACTTGTCATGAATATTAATTGCTAAGACTTAGTTACATACCAGTGAATAGAGATATTGTACTGAACATGGTTAACAACCTTAATGAGAAGTCTCTCTCCTTCTCTTGCAGTAATTGTAGGTCCTGGAAGTTGGCCATTGACTGTCACAATGCTCTTTGTTTGACATAATCTTGTAACATTTTTCATTTGAATCTGTAGTAACATATAAAGTGTAAATAAAAGGGGGGAAAAACAACAAAATATAAAGAATATGAAAAGTTATAGGGCACTAGTACTGCGTACATTAAACTTGTATTGTCTGGTCATTTTGCCTGCATGCTTTGCAAGTGCTAGCTTATGATCAGTTAATGCCCAGAAAGTTATAATAAGTAAAAACATAGAACTCTTTAGGAAAAATGACACCATCTTCAAATACTTTGCTTCTGTTTTCTTGGTGAGGATTTAATGTGTTGAAATATGAACTCTTTTGGTTTATATATACTTTTAAGGGTTTGGTCATTAAGGTTACTTATAGAAGGTGACTATCACTCATACTGACTTGCTTAATATAATTAGGCTGTTGGTCCAACCATACTTTCGAGTAATTTTAAAGTCTGACTATTTTCATAATTAATCATATTGATAACGGTTAAAATATCCAGTAAACTTTCTATATACTACGGGCGAGTTCCTTATTCATTTTATTACGAAACTCAATATATAAAATATCTAAGGGTCGTTACTTTATTCTTTTTTGCTTTGTAATAATTTCCCTTGTATTAAAATTCAATTTGGCTAATAATTATTCGAATGTTTGTGTGAAATTCTAGTTTTATGTCAGGAAAAAAGAAAATAAAATTTAACAACCCACTTGGGGAAATTAAAATAGCACCCTTTTGTCAATTGCAATTATTCAAATAAAAAAAATAAATTCAATTCACTAGATTATTAGTAAGATGCATGTCGACAGATTCTTAAAGTAACTTGGATTTATTACTTTCTTTTTAGGGTAAATGTAAGAGGAGGCTAACCTGATTCAAGTTCCTTGACCCCATATACTAACTGTTTTACTAGTACAACAACAACAATAACTACCCAGTAAAATCCTACATAGTGGGATCTGCGGAGGGTAATGTGTACGCAGACCTTACCCCTGCCCCGATAGGGCAGAGAGGCTGTTTCCGATAGACCCTCGGCTCAGAAAGACGAAAATAAAAAAAAAAAAATAAGAAAAGAGAATTCATTAGTAACTCCAGTAGAAACCGTTATAGTAACAGAAGCATAAAAACCAAAAGATGAATGACATGCAATAACAGTAGTCTTAAGGCATCTAAGCTAAACAGCAAGAATAGTGTGGGTTCAACATAAACTGCAAGCCATCTAGGGTCAACCCTAATCCAACCCCGCCTCAACCCCGGTATGAAGTAAGGAAAGATCTACTACCCCTATCCTACAACCCTAATGCTTGACCTCCAAGCCTTCCTATCAAGGGCCATGTCCTCGAAAATCTGCAGTCGTACCATGTCCTGCCTGATCACCTCTCCCCAATACTTCTTAGGTCTCCCTCTACCTCTTCTCGTACCCACCACGGCCAACCGCTCACACCTCCTCACCGGTGCATCAAGGTTTCTCCTCTGCACGTGCCCGAACCATCTGAGCCTCGCTTCCCGCATCTTGTCATCCACAGGGGCGACGCCCACCTTCTTCCAAATATCTTCATTCCTAATCTTGTCTATCCTAGTGTGCCCGCACATCCACCTCAGCATCCGCATCTCTGCTACTTTCATCCTCTGGATATAGGAGTTCTTAACCGGCCAAACTCTGCTCCATACAACATGGCCGGTCTAACCACAGCTCTATAAAACTTACCTTTGAGTGTCGGTGGCACTTTCTTGTCACACAAGACTCCAGATGCAAGCCTCCATTTCATCCAGCCCGCCCCTATGCGGTGAGTGATGTCCTCGTCGACCTCTCCGTCCCCCTGAATCACCGACCCAAGGTACTTGAAGCTATCTCTCTTAGGGATGACCTGTGACCAAGCCTCACGTCCCCGCCTACTTCCCTCGACTCAGCGCTAAACTTGCACTCCAGGTACTCTATCTTAGACCTGCTCAATTTGAAACCCTTAGACTCGAGAGTCTATCTCCAAACCTCCAATCTCTCGTTAACACCGGCCCTCGTCTCGTCAATTAGAACTATGTCATCAGCAAATAACATGCATCATGGCACCTCCCCTTGAATATGGTGTGTCAGAGCATCCATCACCAAGGCAAATAAGAACGGGCTAAGCGCAGAGCCTTGGTGTAATCCCATAACAACCGGGAAATGCTCCGAGTCGCCTCCCACAGTCCTAACCTTAGTCTTAGCTCCACATACATGTCCTTGATCGCTCTTATGTAGGCTACCGGCACGCCCTTCGCCTCAAGACATCTCCAGAGCACCTCCCTAGGAACCTTGTCATACGCTTTCTCCAAGTCAATAAACACCATGTGCAGATCCTTCTTCTTATCCCTGTACTGTTCCACCAACCTCCTAATATGGTGGATAGCTTCCGTATTGGAGCGGCCCGGCATGAACCCAAACTGATTGTCGGATATAGATGTCGTCTTCCTCACCCTCACCTCCACCACCCTCACCTCCACCACCCTCTCCCAGACTTTCATGGTATGGCTAAGTAACTTGATACCCCTATAATTGTTACAACACTGGATATCACCTTTATTCTTGTACAACGGTACCACTGTACTCGACCTCCATTCTTTCGGCATCCTCTTCGTCCTAAAAATTACATTGAACAACCCAGTCAGCCATTCCAATCCTGCTCTACCCACATACTTCCAAAACTCAACCGGAATTTCATCTGGCCCGGTCGCTCTACCCCTACTCATCTTACGCAAAGCCCCCACGACCTCCTCCACCTTAATGCGCCTGCAATACCTAAAATTGCGGAGACTCTCCGAGTGCCCCAAGTCCCCTAGCGCTATATCCCGGTCCCCCTCCTCATTTAGAAGACCATAAAAGTACGCCTGCCATCTCTGCTTAATCTGGGACTCTCCCATCCTCGTCTTTGATGCACCTTACTTGGTCCAGATCCTGGGCCTTCCTCTCCCTCGCTTTAGCCAGCCGAAACAACTTCCTGTCCCCGCCTTTCTCCCCTAATTCCTCGTATAGACGGCTAAATGCTGCATTCTTAGCCTCCGTGACCGCCAGCTTTGCGTCCTTCCTAGCCACTTTGTACCTCTCTCTATTCGCTCTCCTCTCCTTCTCGCTTGTGCTCCCTGCCAACTTCGCGTACGCTACCTTCTTCGCCTCCACTTTACCTTGGACTATGTCATTCCACCACCAGTCTCCTTGGTGCCTGCCAGAAAAACCCTTCGATACACCTAGCACCTCTCTCGCCGCCTCCCTCACATAGTTCGCCATCGTTGACCACATAGTGCTCGCGTCTCCATTACTCCACCAAGCTCCCATAGCGGATAACCTCCCCTCCAACTCCTGGGCTTTATCCTTGGTTAAAGCTCCCCATCAAATCCTCGGTCGGCCACGAGCATACCTCTTCTTCCTCTTCATCATAATGCCGATGTCCATCACTAAGAGCCTATGCTGAGTCGCGAGGGTCTCTCCCGGGATAACCTTGCAATCCTTGCACAACCCTCTATCACACCTTCTGAGGAGAAGGTAATCGATCTGAGTCTTCACCGCCGAACTTCGAAAAGTAACCAGATGCTCCTCCCTCTTCGGAAAAGTCGAGTTCGCAGTCACCAGCTTGAAAGCCTTAGCGGAGTCTAACAGCGAAGTACCTCCTCCGTTCCTATCCCCAAGGCCAAAACCACCATGCACCTCGCCATAACTACCAGCAGCCGCCCCAATATGGCCATTAAAATCCCTCCAATAAATAACCTTTCAGTAGGTGGAATACTACGCACAATCTCGTCCAAGCCCTCCCAAAAGCGCCACTTAACCTCCTCATCCAAGCCCGCTTGTGGCGCGTAAACGCTAACTACATTGAGGGTGAACTCACCAGTCACCAACTTAATAAACATTAGCCTATCATTTGCTCGCCTAACCTCAACCAGAGACTCTCTAAGATCCCTATCCACCAAGATACCCACTCCATTCTTACCCTTCACGACTCCAGAGTACCACAACTTATACCCGTCCGCATTTCTCGCCTTCGACCCTGCCCACCTAGTCTCCTGGACACAAGCTATATTAACCTTTCTCTTCTGGAGAATCTTTGCCAACTCAATAGACTTACCCGTCAGCGTGCCTATGTTCCACGACCCGATCCTCAATCTACAAGCTCCCTCTTTCCCCTTACCCTCCTTTCCTCTCGTCCCAACACCTGACCCCCTCCCACCCCCTTTCTCACCCCCGGCACCCCTCGAGGACATGACCTTACTCTACCATCCCACACCACAGCCACTATACCTACGGCAAACTCCGGAAGACACTAACACGGACCCAAACTAGAAAAATAACCGGTTGCAACTACAAGTATTCTAATAATATGCTTAAAGTGATGCTAACTAGATAGTCACAAATTAACTAACATAGAGAAAGAGACAAGAAAACGGGAGGTACCAACTCCCGATGGAAAGAACCTGGAAATATGGCTTGATGCACCCGGTGATGCTCCGCTCTACTCGCCTGTGAGAAATGAAATTATATGACAAAGAAAAATACAGAAGTTTACTAAAAGAAGTGCATGCATGCATGGTTTGGGAGAGTGGCCAAGAAGCAAGAAAACTCTCAAACAGGTTAATTCGAATATAGAAAAGCTTGAATTATCAGTTGTTAATTATTCTTAGAGCGGTTAAACAAGTCTATTTCAATGTCATAAGTGGAAACTGAAAATCTGTAGTTTGAGTGAAAATTAATAAAATATACTCAAAGTAATAACGAAAGGGATTGACTATCATGATTAGCCAGAAATGGAAAAATTTGCATGAAAAGAAAAAAAGAATTGGAAAATTTTGTGGCTAAGAGGAAAAGAGGGAGTTAACCAGTAGCATTCAATAATTAATCTCTAGGTATCCAACTATAGTTACTTACTAAACAAGGCATCCCTTAATGGTTTTAACCTAATAACAACGTTTAACCTCATGTTATGTTAGTACATGTGCTCTCGCGTATATTATTGTTACATCGATATTACCCCAGAAATTATTCATGGATTATAATAAGCAGCGGAAGCAATCCCAGTATCAAAATCACATGTAATCTAGACAACTAGTATACGCGGGATTTCACGGGTTACCTCTTGAAGCGTGAACATATCTCTTCTATCACGTGAGCCTTCAGTTCCATAACTTCTCAATGGAATCTCCATCACCCGCACAATCATGATCCTCGAACGTTCCACGGTCTTCTACTGTGTTACCCAAATAATACCCGAAAAACAACAATTTCGTGTGGGCGAAATTTCTAGGAAAATATGGCTGAAGATTTCGGCCACCATCCCTCTCTCCTCTGGATGGAAAACTTTATGTATTTATAGCACAAGTTTTAAGGGTTAAAACCATTTTCCAAAACCTGTTGGGTTTTCTTTTCCACCAGAAAAAGAATTCCTTCATTTCCTATTATTAGGCACAGTAGGGACCACAAAATTTAATTAACAAGGCTTCAATTATGGAATTAATTTATAATTTTCGAAATTAATATCCACCATAATTAATTACGAATTATTCCACTAAAAATCCGTAATTGCACTTCTTATTCAATTTCGAAATTCATCCATTAAATCTTATTTAACTCCCCATGTTAAGATTCAGATACTAATCAATTAAATTAAATTACTGACGATTTAATTTATTGATTATTTCCTTTAGACTTTCGCTTAACTTATTTCATGTGTCGGATACAAAATCCACCGGCCGGGTTTACACATGAAAACTTATAAGCTTTCATAAAGGTGTATCATCAATCTCTAAACCGAGATATGGATTCCATCAACTAACTATTACTTCACCAATGTACATTATTATTATCCAATTTACCGGGCATATTGACCCACGAAAGAATCTCGCCTTTTAATAAATCAAAATAATAGTAATGTACACAGCTAATGATAATTATATCAAGATTAAGAGTATAAGTACATTTAATGGCTAGAGAGTTTATTTTATTAAGTCAGTATAAAATACTTATCTCTACTTGATCCGTTTAATACATACAAAATGTACTAGCACAAGAAGTTGGAATTAAACCATTCCCATAATCAAGATAAATTATATTTAATCTTGTGCTACAATCATCCATGATGGTTTGTCCAATTCCATCATTAGATTGTGAACTCAAACTTTATACTAATAAGAATCGATGATTTAATCTTCCGTGTATAGGCTAAACTCTATACACTAAATCATCTACTATATAAGCAAATATATTTAAAACTTTATTAAAATTGAATAAATAATTTGTTTACCTCGAAAAATATGAGTAACAATTAATTTTTGATTTGTGGTTTTAAAGATATGTGATTTAGTTCAATACTAATTAGTATTCAAGAAATATGAAGTAGGAATGGAAAAAGGATAAGCGAATCAAACCAATAACACGTACCAATGATGACCTCGAGACGGTGACCAGGTGGTTGAGAACTATAAAATAAGAAAAGTAAAATAAGAACAATGAAACTCAAGGACAATGCTGATGAATAGTAGGCGAAAAACGTAGATAATATATTCCTTGCTCAGTAAAAGATGGTCTTACAAATGATTGGGGTTCCCTTTTCATAATAGAGGAACCCTAAATAAGGAATATTTCTATTTACAGTAGGGAATATTCTTGTTACAGCTGTCTAACCGCCTAGTACGGAATTGTACGATCTTATTCCGGAATTTGCACCATGATCTGAGGGACGTGGCAGGAATCTAGCTCGCTCTGGTACAAATCCATAATGGTACTATTTCGAGGTCGAGCGCACTTGGCCTAAGTATTCCTCGAACTCCTTCCTCTTGGCATTACACTCTGCCTTCGAGCTCGAGCCTAGTCCACCGGTTTCGAACTTGACCTCTCCCGGACTCTGGCCTAGGGCGGAACCTCGAGCTTCTACACGGGGGTATATGACTTTGATCGTATATAGATAGTCCCCGCGTTTCTTAGAATAAGATGGTAAGAAACGATTTTCACCTCGACTTCCCCGAGCTTCTCATGATGATGTCACGCCCGTGACGTAGGTGCTTGAAATGACCGGAAATGTCACGTCGGCGCTCTTCCCCAAAACATCAAATACGTGTCAGTGTTGGTCAGCCACTTGCGCCGCCGATCCATCGCCGCCTTTCTATAAATAGGAGGCTATCTTGTTGAACAAAGAACTGTGCTTTTTTCATCTTTATCTACTTTTGATCCTTTCCCTTCTTTGCTTCCTTCTTTTATCGTCTATTTCCATGGTTCGAACTTGCAAACACATGGTCATATGGCAGTAACATTACCAGTTATGCCAAGGTTCCCTTTTTTAAAGCTTTGATTCGAATCAACGTGAGAAGGGCGCCGAATCCTTCTCGCATCAGAAAATATGCAAACTTTACACTGCCGCTCATCTCTCTTAACTTCAACCTGGTGTAGCACTTCATTCCTTTTGGTCTCCATGGAATGAGGTGGCACTATCGTCTACTAACTTTTGCATCCTACCCCGGAACAATGTCCCAAGGATAACATTCTTGGATCGTTGCTCGTGCATTTTGCAACCCTTTTGTTTTTTCTTGTGATAGAAGGCAAAGCTACATCTTCTGGTCTTCACTTCTGATCTTTTTCTTTTGCTGCTCTTTTTTAACGGATTACGGCCCAAAATCTCAACAGAATGTTCAATCCCCGCTGCTGGAAGTATAGCTACATTTATCCAAGACTTTCTGCCTCAAATCTCATCGGGCACAAAGACATTTCCAACGGTCAAAACGGGGTCCCCGGGAAGGAGGCTCTCGAAGATGATGTTCTCGAGGACGTGGCCTTAAAAGTAGATTAGGTTTTGGCTTTTGTTTTTTGCTTCTTTATTTCTGTGTAAGTACCCTTCGTGGGTGTTATAATTATATTTTGTAACCATCTCTCAGAAATATAAAAGGATACCTTTGTCTTCCTTTTGGCTCGTGTTGAATTCCGTTTTGCCTTTATTTGTGAAAAATTTGATTGTATAATTTTAATGACTAGTCCAAATACCGGACTCAGGACATAATAAACCCTTAGGTTTTTCAATATAATATCCCTTAAGGCTCTTGTTAATCCTCGAGCTGAGCTTAAATCGATTCGATGCGACCTCAAAACATCGGGATTCCTGAGTTAAGTGAGAGCAGAGTCTCGAATTTGAAATAAAGTTAGCCCTTAGGCTCCGTAGACGATCATCGAGTGAGAACTTCCTTCGACTCGCGTAGCCCTTGGGCTTAGTAGTCAAGCGAGTACTTGCTCGAATCTTGAAATAAAGTTAGCCCTTAGGCTTTTTTGTAGTCCCCGAGTGAGAAATTTTCCAAACTCGGGTAGCCCTTGGGTTTAGTAATTGAGTGAACACTTTGCTCGAACTCGAAATAGATTGATAAAAAATGAATTGATCTTCGACGCCTCGATTCTGATGCCAATCTCGTGACGTCAGCTGTTGAAGTGACCGAAAAGGTTGCTTTTTGTGCGGTTTCTAAAGTCATTGATTAGAGGCGGCTGACGGTCGGCCTTTTGGCTTCCAAAGTACGGTTAAATGAACTCTATAAAAGGAGAAACTTCATAACCTTGCAAACTTTGTTCTCATATTGTTCTCAAAGTTACATTAGCTCTTTCAATTTCTCTGAATTCCTCCTTCTCTTCTATCTCACTATCAACACTCTCCATTTTCTTTGAATTTCCGCGTCGTGATGGCTAAAACCTCTAAACCGGTTCCCCAAAAGGAAAAAGCTTTTTCATCTTCTCGACCGACCAAGAGCAAACCAGTAGTGCCCTCTCGTATTGAGGAGTGCATTCCTCCGCCATGCGAAATAACATCCGATTTCAGGATCGAGAAACCCGTGTCGACACCAAGCCGATGCGAGCCCATGTCTCGATATGTCAGTTTGATAATCGAGGACGAGCTTGCACAAGTTAAGGAGGACTACAAGTGGGAGAACAAAGAAGTAGTGATCCCTTCCCCCGAGGAGGATATCACTACATACAGAGCGGGGTACTTAAGCGTGTATACCTACCCATTCACACTGGGCCCTGCAATCCCAACTCAAGGTCCCATAGACCCGATTATTCTCGACTTTTGCCAGCGGTATCGAGTGACGCTTGTCCAGATCTATCCTTCGTTCTGGCGAATTGTTCATTTGATTAGGTTCTTTTCGAGTCAGGTCGAGGGAATGCCTTTCACCCTCAACCATCTGATCAGACTGTATAGTCCTCGACTTTATCGTGGTGGCTTGATAAAATTGCAACGCTGATCCTTGAAATCTCTTTTTTCTAGTATTGATGAGGATAAAGACCGAGGGTGGATGAGCTGGTTTGTCCGAGTCAAGACCTCCGACCTAATTCCTGCTGAATGGATGCCGCTCCACGAGGAGTGGAACATGAAACGTAAGTACATAATAGGTTTATACCCTGCTTCCTTTTCCTTTTCTCGGTTTTATCTTTCCGCTCGGTTTAACCCTTTTCTGATGGCGTAGCTACTGCTTGGTTTCCTGGTGGGGTCCCGGACCTTGAAGGCTGGGTCCGAAAACTGGCTTCCACTTCCTCTTATTCGGAGCATTGCTGGCGAGATTTAGCAAAAGGCCGATGGGAGGCCAGAAATCATGGTGAGTTCTTCTGTTTGTTTACTTGTATTTTCTTAGTGGAATACTTACTTCGATTTTCTGCAGGTCTTGGAGATGCCGTTGCTATGCGGCCGGCCCCGGGTGGTTAGGAAGAGACCCCAAAACATTCTAAAGAAAAGAAAAGAAAAAGGGAGCCACCTGCAAACTCCTCGAAGTCCAAGAAAAATACGGCTCGAAATTCCAAGGTCGATACGGTTGCCTTATCTTCGGAAACGGCCCAACGCCTTCGGGATCAAGAAGAAGAAGAAGATGACGACTACCTTTTGGTAGCCCGTTAGAGAGGAAACACCGGTGCTTCAAAGTCCGTCGAGCCGGTGATAGTTGATGTGGTTCATTCCAGAGTCGAAGAGATCTTCGAGGGGAGTTCAAACAAAGTCCCTGAGCCATCTAGCAGTAAAAAGGCACCTTGCCTAGGAGGCCATTTGGGGGGCGAGGCTGAAATGCCCGATCTCGACTCCCATCAAATGAAAGAGAATGCCCTGAGCGGATCACTTGGGGTAATTAATGTGGACGACTCACCGCCTGGTCCCGAGTTCTCCGAGGGGAAAATTCAAGATGCTCAGAATATGAAATATTCTGAAGTGGGGGCGAGCCACGAAGGGCATGACATCTTTCGAGAATGTCTCGCAGAGATTGAAGATGGCCTCGGCCTGGATGCTTCTTTCATTTTTGATGAGGCTCGTCGACTCTTCAAACAAGTGAGTTTTCTGTCCTTTAGAGTTACGCTTGTGCTTTGCTTTTGTTGCTCTAATTTTTTCCCCTTTTTATGAAGGCTGTGGTGCTCCACAAAAGGGCATTTTCCAAGTCTCGAGCTGATCTTACTCGATGTGAGGCTGAGCTTAAAAAGGTCTCGGAAGAGATGGACAATCTTAAAACCCTCTATGCCAAGAAGGAGGAGGAGATCATCGATCTTCGAGCCGAATTGGCAAAGGCTTGTCAGCAGCAAATTGCGTTTACCGAGGAGGTAATATTCCCTCCCAAGCTTGTCGTGGGCCAACTTGTCCGATCTTCTAACAACTTTATTCTGTAGTTTCAACGAAAGGGCGAACTGGTGGAGCAGCTCCGGGAGGAGCTCAAGATGAAGGAGGCCGAAACCCTGGGTTGGAGGCAAAGCATGGACGATCTTGCTTCTGAGAGAGAAACCCTTCGGGAGCAGCTGGCCTCGCTTGAACGTCAGTTCCAGAGTGTGAAGGAGGAGCGCTTGGCTCGAGGCCGCGAAATTAAGGAGCTCAAGGTTAATTTTGCTGCTGAGATGGCTAAGGCCAAATCTGATGCTGAGGCAATTATGTCCTCATATCGAGCCGATGCCGAAGCAGCTAATTCCCGGGCCAAGGAGATCTCCACTACGGCCGAAGTTAAGTTATCATGTGCACTCGATCATGCTAGGCGACAGTCCTGGAGGGAAACCCTCGAGGAGGTGCACGCTCGTGGCTTCGATCTTTCAGCCGATATCGAGAAGGCGAAGACCCTAGAAGAGGAGGCTGCTTCTCTGCTTTCTGATGAGGATGATTCAGCCAGTGGTTCCGAGACTGGAGAAGACGAAGACGAAGTCCCCGAGGATGAGGCTCTCGAAGATGCGACCCCTGAATATGCGACCCCAAAGTAGTTTTAGGTTTCTTCATTTCGTTTTTGTGCAAGTGTCCTTCGTGTAATTATCTTCTGTAATCATCTTTTGGAAATATAAGGCGAACTTTTTATCTCATGTTTGACTTGTGTTTATTTACGGAATACTTCGTTTGTATAACTTGAGTGATTGGTCCGAGAATTGGTTTGAGCTTGAGATATAGTTAACCCTTAGATTTTTATCGATAGATATAATAATCTTTGATTTAAGTTTAGATTGATCCGATGTAAGCTCGGGGTATCGTGACTCTTGAGTCCGGATCGAAATGAGAGCGGAGTCTCAAACTATAAGTTTTTGGCCCTTAAGCTTTCGAAGTTGGCCCTTCGGCTCATATATATCGGCCCTTATGCTCTTTAAGTTGGCCCTTAGGCTCTTTAAGTTGGCCCTTAGGCTCTTTAAGTTGGGCCGATTCAGCCTCTAGAATGGCTATATAATTTTTTCCTCATTTTGGCTAAAAGACTTAGTAAAAATTTAGTTATGCCTTAGCATGTGTTTTTGTACCCGTTGGGTTTTCGAAGGTTCGACGTGTCGGGACCTTGTTTGTGCACTGATAATCGAGCACCTCTTGAGGTTTTATCTAGAGCTTACATTATCGAAGCTTTTAAATTATTCGAGGGCTGAAATTATCGAAGCCCGTTATAGTTTGCTTTTGCCGAGGGTAGCCTGATTTAACTTGTTTTTACGAAGTGTTTGAAGGCCTTTTATTAATAGCGGAAGTCGGACGTCTCCGAGCCGCATTGTTTAGGCCGTAGCCTTTTTATATGAGCGTAGTCTTTAATATGGCCGTAGCCTTCGGGAATGTCGCTTGGACTTGTTACCCGATAACTTTATGAATTTGTTCGGAAAGTTAGTCCCCGAGTATATCGGCCTTGGCCTTTGTTTCGAGGGGATGCCTCTTTGAGGTCTTATAAGTCCGAGTTTTTGGTGGCTCGGGTATATTGGCTGTTGATGGTAGTCCCCGAGTATTCGGAGGTGCTTTTATGTTTTGGCTCTTGAGCCGTTCCCCGTAGGGTTATAAGTTTAGAGCTCGTATAACAATAGACTTCTTTGAGACGCAATGTGTTTTGGATTTAAACAGAATGGTTCTTTAAGTAATTCGATACATGCGTACATGTTCTGCCATTGAGGCTCGACTATTTTATACGGGCACGGTTCATCTAATCGTTTGGCTCATTACAACGTTTTCCTATCGAGGTCCTCTTAGGTGTGAAGTGTTTTCCTTGAAAATACAATCTCTGAGGGTGATGCCCCCTAGTATTCGAGGTTGATTGAAAAGGAACCTTGAATACTGTTGAGTTCTCCTTAGGTAGCACATAATTGTTGCCTCGTTAAAAACCTTGCCGATAAAACCCATTTGGGACAAAACCTGGGCTAAGGAAAAAAGAGTGCAACGTATTCTTTAAAACCTAAGGCCTTAGTGTAAAAAGGTGTGTCTTCGAGATCGCGCGCCTTTGAGAGCTTCCATCGTGCCGAGCTTGTAAGATCCTTTACCAACAACTCCGAGGGCCCTGTACGGTCTTATCTTGCTATCCGCGATCGTGATATCTTCTAAAGCCTTGATTTGGCCGGGGATGATTTTGATATCCTGATTTTACATCATGAAGTCGAGAAACTTTCCCGAGCTGACTCCGAAGGCACATTTCTCTGGGTTAATCTTCGTGTCGCATTGTCTCGAAACTTTGGATGGTTCCTGCAAATGAATTAAGATGGTCCTCTGCGCACAGGGACTTAACCAGTCATATCATTAATGCAGGCTTTCATTGTTTTACCTGTTTGTTCTCCAAACATCCTTTCAACTGGACGTTGGTACGTAGCTTCTCGGACCGAGGCCTCCCTTTTTGCTTCACTGGTTCAAACTTGGGATCGATGCTCAGCCTATGTGTGGTGACTTCCTACGGAACCCCTGTCATATCTAAACGGGACCAAGCAATGCAATCCATATTATCAATAAGAAACTAAATGAGTTTTTTCCTGAGTTCGGGGGTTAATCCCGTCCCCAGGTGTACCTTTCTCTTGAGCGGTTGACTTGGTAGCATCAGACTCCTCGAGAACGATGTAGGTTCGAGGAGTAAGGAAGTTCTCTTCTTTGCCTTCAGTTACATGTTATTCCGATCCCGTCGAGGCTGGGAGCTGTGATTGCTACTTGGCCGCCTGCTTACCTTTAGAGCTCGATTTCTCCGAGGCCAAGGGTTCTGGTATCGGCACCACTTCCTCGATTGCAAATATCTCTTTTGCAGCATGCTGCTCCCCGTGGACTGTTTTCACTCCTTCCTCTATCGGTAATTTCATCATCTGGTGGAGAGTCGAAGGCACTGCCCTCATGCTGTGTATCCATGGTCTCCCGATGAGTGCGTTATACCTCATGTCACCTTCGATGACATGGAACCTGGTATCTTGTATGGTCCCGGCTACGTTTACTGGCAAGATAATCTCTCCTTTTGTTGTTTCGCTTGCCATGTTGAAGCCATTCAGCACCCGGGATGCAGGTACAATCTGATCTTGCAGGTTAAGTTGTTCCACGACCCTCGATCTGCTTATGTTTGCAGAGCTACCTGGATCCACTAAAACACGTTTAACTTGAATTTTATTTAAAAGAATAGAGATTACCAGGGCGTCGTTGTTCGGTTGGGATATGTTTTCTGTTTTCTCATCGCAGAATGACAGGAAGTCCTCGGGCACATAGCTCCGAGTCCACTTTTCTCTTGTGATCGATACTTTGGTGCACTTGAATATAGGAAGTTGGGGGATGTCGACTCCTCCAATGATCATGTGGATTACATGCTGTGGTTCTTCATGCTTGTTTTTCCTTGCATCTCTCTCCCTGAAGTGGTTCTTGGCGCGATCACTTAGAAATTATCGAAGGTGGCCCTCGTTGAACAATCGAGCCACCTCTTCTTTTAGCTGCCGGAAATCTTCTGTTCTATGATCATGCGTACCATGATACTTGCACATCAAGTTTGGGTTTCTTTGACAGGGATCAGTTTGTATGGGCCTCGGCCACTTGGTGTCTTTGATTTTTTCAATAGCTGACACGATCCCTAATACATCCACGCTAAAGTTGTACTCTAACAGACAGGGAGCCTCCGTGGGGTCGGTATGTTTATCGAACCTGCTCTTACTCATGAGTCTCCGAGAACTTTGCCCTCGATCGCTTCTCCGATCACTCCGAGGAATGTTACGGCTTGTTCCTTTGGTCGGCATATGGTTGATTCATTTCCCTGTTTGATCTCGAATCCCTGTTCGTGTCCCTCGGGGGCTTGGCCACGAACCTGTTAGGATGAACTAAACCCGAGGGGCTCCTAATTGGTCGTCCTCAACCCTAATTTTTGACTGGTAACGGTTGTGCACATCTGACCACGTCAAAGCTGGATACTCGATCAAGTTCTACTTTAGTTGTTGAAAAGCAATTGAGCTTCGTTCATTCAAACCCTGCCTGAAGGCCTGTACTGCCCAGTCGTCGGAAACCGGCGGCAGTTCCATTCTTTCCATCTGAAACCTGAATACGAACTCCCTTAACATCTCGTCGTTCCTTTGTTTTATTTTGAAGGCATCCGATTTTCTTGTGGCCACCTTTATGGCCCCGGCGTGGGCTTTAACGAAGGCTGCTAGCATAGCAAATGAATCAATAGAGTTAGGTGCTAAGTTGTGATACCAAATCATAGCTCCTTTTGAGAGTGTTTCCCCAAACTTTTTCAACAATACTGACTCGATTTCATCATCATTCAGGTCGTTTCCTTTGGTCCCACAAGTGTATGAAGTAATATGTTCATTAGGGTCGGTTGTCCCATTATATTTGGGTATATCGGGCATGCGGAATTTCTTAGGAATGAGCGTCAGGGCTGCACTCTGAGGGAATGATTTTTGTATGAACTTCTTAGCATATAGACCTTTCAAGACTGGAGGTGCCCCCGGTATCTGGTCTACACGGGAGTTATAAGTCTCCACCTTCTTGTCGTTATCCTCAATTTTCTTTTCTCCGGACTCGATCCTCTTCGTGAGTTCTTCGAGCATTTTCATAATGATGGGGTCAGTCCCCGAGCTGTTTTCATTTGGTCCTTCCGGTGTTGGTTCAACACATCGATTGTTTTTATGTTCAGCTGCACTCGGGGTCTTGTTTTGACTTTGAAGTTGAACGATGGTGATTTGTTGAGCCTGCAACATCTCAAATGTAACTTGGAGGCTAACTCCCCATCTCCTGCTCCTAGCGTTCCTTGGTCCCCGGGTCGAGCATCCTTGCGTACGCTCCCTTCGGGGTCTGTGCCTAGGCTGGTGTTTATAGCAATATGACAACCAACATCAACTGGTTCCATGTTTGGCACTTCCCCAGGGTTTATCAGTGGTACACCGACCCTATATTGTTGTTCTCTCCAAAACCCTCATTGTCATGAACAGGTGAATTTTGCGTGCTAGACATGTTTCAGCCTGAAAATCAAAGATTCTTGACAAGAAAAGCGTAAAGATAACGTGTGTAGTAAGAATCAGTGAAGAAATAATCACTATTATCTTTGGCCCCACGGTAGGCGCCAAACTGTTTACCTCGAAAAATACGAGTAAAAATTAAATTTGATTTGAGGTTTTAAAGATATGTGATTTAGTTCAATACTAATTAGTAATAAAGAAATATGAAGTAGAAATGAAAAAAGGATAAGCGAATCAAACCAATAACACGTAACAATGATGAACTCGAGACGGTGACCTCGAGATGGTTGAGAACTATAAAGTAAGAAAAGTAAAATAAGAACAATGAAGCTCAAGGACAATGCTGATGAACAGTAGGCGAAAAAGGTAGAGAATATATTCCTTGCTCAGTTAAAAGATGGTCTTAAAAATGATTGGGGTTCCCTTTTTATAATAGAGGAACCCTAAATAAGGAATATTTTTATTTACAGTAGGGAATATTCTTCTTACAACTGTCTAACCGCCTAGTACGGAATTGTACGATCTTATTCCGGAATTTGTGCCATGATCTTAGGGACGTGGCA